CAACCTGGGCTGAAGTGGTGGTCCGTGGCTGCAAGAGAGGCTCGGATGGGGCTGCCTCTCCTCCACACATCGGCCTCTCCAACCGCTATGCAGCCCTGTCTAACAACACTCGTTAGACGGCTTCGAGTCTCCCTGATATGGATCTCTTTCGGCGCACAGTGCCTGCCGACACTGTTGCATCTCCTCCACCGGCTACATCTCCTGCACTGGGCCGTCGGTCTGCCGCAGAGGTTCCTCACCAGCAACAAGAGAGTTTTAACCAGTTTTATCCCATCGACTTGTCTGAGCTTTTGAAAACAGTATCACAAATGAGAGTGTCCTCCAGCCCACTTGATGTAATACCTACAAAATTTTACTGAAAGTAATAGATTCTGTTGGGCCCCATTTGATCTCTGTTTTCAACAGCTCCCTATCTACTGGTTGTGTCCCTGATTATTTTAAAATGGCTTGCATGAACCCACTTTTAAAGAAACCTGGTTTAGATCCCTCCCTCCCACATAATTTTAGACCAATTTCAAAACTGCCTTTTATTGCAAAGATTCTAGAAAGAATTGTGTCCAAACAGCTGCTCACTGTGCTGGAAAATAACAAAATATTTGAAACGTTTCAGTCTGGTTTTAGGAAGTACCACAGCACTGAGACTGCCCTGCTTAAAGTCATCAATGACCTTTTAATGTCTGCTGATGAAGGCATGTGCTCAGTCCTGGTACTCCTGGACCTTAGCGCTGCTTTTGACACCATTGATCACAACATCATGTTAGACAGACTGAGGCACTGGGTGGGGATCTCTGGTACTGCCCTAGAATGGTTTTCATCCTACCTGTCAAATAGGAAGTTTTGTGTGTCTGTAAACAACTATGACTCCTCATTCTGTCCAGTTAAATATGGTGTGCCTCAGGGGTCGGTCTTAGGACCCATTTTGTTTTCCTTGTATCTGCTTCCCCTTGGACATATTATCCATAAACATGGCATTTCTTTTCATATTTATGCTGATGACACACAAATATACTTGCCCGTCAGATCCACAGACCCTGGAATGCTGAGTTCACTTAACAACTGCCTTTGTGAAGTTAAAAAATGAATGTCAAATAATTTCCTCCAGCTGAACTTAGACAAAACAGAAATCCTGGTCATCGGGTCTCAGCAGATGGCAAATCAAATACTGCCATCTGCTGGTTCGCTAGTAAATCACATTAAGCCTGTGGCAAAGAACCTTGGTGTTTGGTTTGATAGTAATTTAAATTTCGAGCAGCATACCACAAAGCTTGTTCAATCATGTTTTTATTAACTTAGAAATATAGCAAAATTCGATCTATGTTAACTTTTAAGGACACCGAGACCATTTTACACACCTTCATCTCATCACGCCTGGATTATTGCAACAGCCTTTTCACCTGTTTAACCCAAAAATCTATTGATCGACTCCAGACTGTCCAGAACTCAGCTGCCAGGCTTTTAACCAGAACAAAGAAATATGACCACATTACTCCTATTTTAGCTTCATTACACTGGCTCCCAGTATGTTTTAGAATTGACTTTAAAATTCTATTGATCACTTTTAAAGCTCTTCATGGCCTCTCGCCTTGTTATATTTCTGACCTTTTAGTCCCATACGCACCAGCACGTACCTTGAGATCCTCGGGCAGAGGTCTGTTGTCTGTTCCAGAGTCTCGACTGAAAACTAAAGGGGACAGAGCGTTTGCTGTCAGGGCCCAGAGGCTCTGGAACAGCCTGCCCGAGGAAATCAGGTCGGCTGAGTCAGTGAACTCTTTTAAGTCCCTTCTTAAAACATGCTTTTATAGGAGAGCCTTTCCCGATCTTATTTGACTTTATTTTATCCCTTTTATTTTATTGTATTTTACTAATTTTATATTTATCTGTATTTTAGTCTTTTCAATGTTTTCTTGCTTTTAACTTGTATTGTTTTTGTATTATTGTCTCTTGGGTATTATTGTCTTTACACTTGTTAAAGCACTTTGGAACTTGTTTTTGAAAAGTGCTCTACAAATAAGGATTATTATTATTATTCTGCACTGACAGATCCCGCAGCTTTTATACTAACATGAATGGATCAATTGAGCTGCCATCAGATGTGGATGCTCACACTGAACATAAACACGGAACCCCATGTCGGTTCTGTACATTGACCATTCCAATAAATGTTTATTCGGCATCCTTAATGTTAACAAAAAGAAAGAAAGGTAGCATTACTTTGTGCCTATTATGAATGGAAAGTAAGAAGACAAAGAAAAATACTGAGCTGCAAATTGCTGGAAGATCGTCTGGACTGCCAGAAATCCATCCGTTAATCCGAGAGCCAGATCTCTGATGGTTCAGGCAATTACAGGCAAAAGCCTCAAACAACCACCATTCTGGCAGAAATTATAGATTTATTTTGGGCGCGACCAATTTGTGGCTACTAAGAAGAAGTGTCAGGATGTGTGGTGTGGTTGAGCAGGTAGGTGGACCCAAATGCAGGACACAGAGCGGAGCAGGTACAGTTCAGAGGATTTATTAAAGCAACACAAAGCGAGCACACTTTAAAACTGATTGGCTGAGTCCAAGTAATCCAAAAGAATAAACAATCCCAACGAAACAGGTAATCCAACAGAAATAATCCTACGGGGTACAGATCCAGGACAGGCAGGGCAGAACAGAGCAAAACTACACATGACATGAGACAGAGCAACAAACAAGCTACAAACCACTACAATGACCCAACAAGGACTGAGGGAAACAAGCAAGCACATATACACACACAGGGCTAATGAGACAGGCAGGCAGAGAGACAGCAGGGAAAACAGAGAGACAGGCAGGCAAAGAAACACAGAACTAGAAGTAAATACTAAGACATGAGCTAAGGCACAGGACCAGGAACTAAGACACCGAACTAAGAACTAAGATAAGGCACAAGACAGATACTAAGTAAACTTAAACATGCGAATGAATACAATAATAAACAAGGCTACACAGAGAAACACAAGACAGGATTGTGACACTAAGTCTGAAGGCCTACATTAGTCTACATTACTATTACCGTGCTGATCTAATCAGCATGGTAATATTGTTTTAGCTTTTACATGTTTAGCTTTCAGGTAATGTTTACCTTTCTTACTTAGTTTGGCGGATCAGCACACCAACATTTGCTAATCAGCACTTGCACAAATTACAGCTGATGCTGATGAGACGTACTTTTGCGAGAATTTAGTTATAAATTACAGTATTGGGAGTATTGTTTTGTGGAGAGCCACATACATAGGTTATGTAGAAATGTACAAAAACACAGTAGATACATTCTTCAGGGATGTATCTTGTTGCTAAAGGTGAAAGTGAAATTTTGTCTTGATATTGACATTAGATGAAATGCTAGGGGACCACCAAAGTTATTCCAACTCATGCTGCTTGCATGACTAAAAACCATTTGACAAAGGTGAAACAAATATTGCTTATCCTTTTCCATGATATTTGAATACTTTGGGGAATATAGATTAAAACATCAGTATCAAGATATTGTTGTGATACATAAACAAATCTAAGACTAACAAAAGATTATAGGAGGTGAAGTCTGCAGCTTCCTCTTCACAGGTCTAGAAGGACAAGCCAACCACAAACAACACTTTGATCATTGACACCTTTGCATTTGTGGCATTGTGATCTGTTTCACACCTTTTCGGTGAATATGTATTGCTGTTTAAGACTGCTGCACTTTGCATCAAGATCCAAAAGTACATAGAGGTACATAGACTATTAAAAGATGGTTCTTGTTACTAACCATAATTAAATTAAGAGGAAGGAAGTGAAGTTCAGAGCTGCATGCTGTGTATTCACCACCACAGATCAACAGTCCTCTTCAGCTCTTCTAAGTAGACCGCCATTGATTTTGACCAGAGGTTATAATTTGGAATAATACCTTTTATACAATCACCATTCTGATTAGAAGTGACTACAGCCATGTTGTTGGGAGAAGCTGCGAGCACGGTCATGTTTTTCATCCTGTTTATCTCAGGTATTAATTATTGTTCACTTTATATCCATCACACATTCTTTGTAATTATTAAGTATAAACTAATAAGTAATAATAATAATAACCATGGATCACTTTTACTGTAGTCTATGAGTTTTAATGTTAACAATTAGCAACTCATCTGCTTTAAAAAGGCTGTGGACATCTACAATTTTTTTTCAATTGCTAACATGCAACATTCAAAACTGAAGCCACATTTTTCAAAACTCTTCACATAGTCTGCATTACCACCATGCATCTTGGCCAAACAGTTAATCTCACCTCCAAAAGTCACTCAAACCACCAAAACACTTGGTTGGTTTGAACCAATTCTGCTAAAATACAAGCACATTTCCTGCTTTACACACAGCCTGCAGTTTTACAGTAAAAACACATTCAAAACACTTCATACATATCTCTATGCACATACGTAGATCAATGAACAATGTACATAAAAGTATGTAATGTACATACATTTTTTCAATATTTATCTATCCAGTTACTGCAAATATGCAGGGATATATTTGAATGTGATTTTAACAGCTTTGGACAGTGTGTTAACATTTACAAAATGTGCTGCAGATATATAGTGTTTTGCAGGTGGTGAAGTAGTGAAGAGAAAAGAGTTTTTGAGAGAGATTTTGGAGAGAGTGGTCATTGAATGCATTTTGTGTGAAAGAAACGAAAAATAATTTATAGTTTAGACACTTCTGTTTCGCTGACTGTGTAAAGAGTTTTGACAATGTGACTTCAGTTTTGACCAGTGCAGGTTAGCAATTGAAAAAAAAACTACACTAAACTGTAATTACTTTATAATATTATTATTATTATTCGGTGATTAAATTTTCATGCTCTTATCTTTTTTTTGTATTATTCTTTACACTTGTTAAAGCACTTTGTAACTTGTTTTTGAAAAGTGCTCTACAAATAAGGATTATTATTATTATTATTATTATTAATATAAAGCCATATATTTGTTCCCATGTTAGCTGATATTGGTATTTGGGGACAAGCAACCAGTATCTGTGCCTTAAAAGGCTCATCGGTGGAGCTGCCCTGCTCTGAACATCCCACTTCAAGCAAGACATGGTATACTCTACACTGGGAAGATTACAAAGTTATTCAAAATGAGCTCTCTGAAGACGGACATCGAGTGACATACAACATGTCTGAGGGGAGTAACTTCACTCTAACAATCAATGATTTAAGAGAGACTGATGAAAATGTTTACTACTGCGGAGAGAATTCAGAAAACTCCTGGCACCGAAGAATTCAGCTTTATGTTGCCGGTACAGTGGCTGTCAGTACTTCATTACTTCAAAAATCGTATATTTATATGAAAACTAATTTAGTATACCACTATCCAGACCTGCAGGTAAAGGTTATTCCTGCCACAGAGGGACAGACAGTAACACTGATGTGTAACACCAGCTGTCCTCTGACTGAAAACCCTGCAGCCTACATCTGGTACAGGAACAGAGAGTTTCTCTATCAGGACTGGTCTCCCTGGTACCAACAGCTGGTCAGCAGTGACAAAGCAGTCAGATACTCCTGTGCTATCAAAGGCTACGAGGGTCTCAGAGCCCCTGAAGTCTCAGTGGGTGAGTGACAACATCTAGCTCCTCATCATGTTACAAAAAAAAAAACTGTGAAAAACTGTTGTATTGTCTCAAATAAAAATGCTCAACGCCATCTTTTGGCCCAGATTCTGTTACAACAGCCTGCTTTAGCGTGACCTACGCTAAAGGAAGAATGTGTTTGTATAATCAGAAATCAGAGGATGAGGCATGCTCCATCATGTATCCCAGAGGTGAAGTTTTCTCCACATTCCACACTCCACAAACATTTACAAACACAAATAACACACCTCCTGAAAGACCCCCCCAACCTAAATAAAATACTCGCTACTGGCAAAGTTACTGTTAAATATATTCTGCAGTTTTCAATAATTGTCTCTCAACAGAAATACATGTTCAGAAGACACTTGCAGAGGGCTTTGTCATTCTGACCTGTATCACCAGCTGTCCTCTGACTGACCCTCAAACCACCTATAGGTGGTATCAGAACAGACAATTGCACATATACACTGAGAGTCAACAGTTTTAGTTTCCCGCTCATCTGATAAAAGACTCTCCTGTGCTTTAAAAGGTCATGAGGATCTGCTCTCGGCTGAAGTCTGTGAGTATGAACCAACTTGGGCAATTTCACCATCTGTGTCAGTTCATATTACTGCAAAGATTCGTTTGGAGTGTATTATTTGTTCATATCCAAATAATGTATTCATATTTATTTATATCCGTAAAAAAGTTAATTGGGATTAAACAGTAGATTTTTTTTCAAGTATTTATTTTAAAAACATTTTTTCGTCTATATTTCAGGTACTGAGGATAAAAACTGCTGGAGTGTGAATTATTTCAGCAGGAGAATTTGTGCACCAGAAGGTTCTTCAGTGAGCACTTCAAGTGAATACTCATACCCTGATGACCAGCAACCCAAGTCTAAATTATGGTATAAAATAAAGAGAACTAGTGAGGTGGATGCTGAAAATGTGATTGGGGCTGTAGGTCGTGTGGAGTATCATGACAACATGAAGAATCGCCACATCCTTAAAATTAAAAAGTTGATGAAGAATGACTCGGCAGAATATACGTTCAGACACCAAACAGAAGAAGGAGGACAAAAACAGTCCGATTTACCTGGAGTGACTTTGGTTGTCACAGGTATGTAATTCTCTAGAATAAATACTTGTATGTCTAATTGCCGACAGCTAATATGATCTGTAGCCGGCAACGCTTGTCATTTTAACCAATGATAGCAACAGTCAGTGCTGGCTAAAAATGAGAAGCTGGTGACAAAACACAGTTCAGAAACAGAAGTTCAGTGAAGAAATGATTGCAGTTTGATTTGTTTTAGTTTATACCTGTCTATCAAAATATACCAGGATTAGCCCTGATATAGAAGCTGAGGATTGGTTCGGGACACCTCTATTTATAATGTGTTCCTGACTATAGGTGAGCATACTCAATTGACACAGACATGTTTTGAACTTCCTAATTCTTAAAGAATATTGATGGAGCCAGTAAGTTCTTGTAAACATTCTTGTAAGACTCAACCTTGCAAGATTCCCAGAGAACACCGATATCTGCTAGCCTGACGCCTGAGCTACTGTCTCTACCTTATCAGTCTAACTGTTGTCTCCCTAACAAGGACAGTTACATGTGAGAAATATCTAGAGCTGGAAGGTCAGTCAACACTTGTAAGGTCAGCTAATGACTCCAAGCTAGACCTGTCTTACTTTTCCCTGTTACATCAACTAAGCCCCTTAAGAATTAATTGATCTATAGAAGTTTTTTTTCAGGCCTGAGAGTGAAGTTTACTCCTTCTGCAGAGGTGACAGAGGGCCAGAGAGTCACACTGACCTGCAGAACAAGCTGTCCTCTGACTGACAACACAAACTACATCTGGTACTTAAACACACGACCTTTGACCCTGCCAGAGAACCAAAACAAACACTTGGTTCTAGACCCAGTCAGCAGTCAGCATGCAGGAAACTACTCCTGTGCAGTCAAAAACAGCATCAGTTCACATGAAAGGACTCTCACTGTTCAAGGTGGGCATAGTTTTTACTATGAACTGAAATGTTTTTAGGCATTATTAGCAGTTTAGCATTTTAAACTCAAGCATTTTAATAGGAAATAAGACATATACAATACTCTATCTCTCTTTTGTTTAGGGAAATCAATGGCAATAATTAATGCAGTTAGACTGACTATTGCATTAATGATCCCAATTCCTCTACTTCTTTTCCACCTGTGGATGAGGTAAAAGACTTGACAGTCTTCTGTTTAAAGGCTTTTACCTTTACTTGATATAATCAATGTGTCCTTACTGACTAGATGGGTTTGTTTTTAAAAATAGTAATTTGCACTGTCTGAACAAAACACATCCAGGAAGAAGAAAACTCTGACCTCCACTGCTGAGCCTAGTGACCAAGGTAAAAGGTGAGTATAGAATTTGAAAGCTAGAAATTGTCGTATGTGTGTGTTTTCCTCTTGTCATTGTCTCTGTTTTGCAGATGAACTCATAATATGAGAACATCACATTCCTGGTCATGAATCCTGTGACTGCAGCAGAGACAACCAAAGCAGCAGGAAGACGTGTAATGTCTTTGTTAATTTGGTCCCTTTTGGACAGGGATCTTTTGAGCACTCGTTACCTTAGGGTGCCTTTAAATTTTGAAAGCCTGACCAATATGGGATTTTTAAGTCCGATACTGATATTTGAGGATTTTAAAATCCGAACGCTGATATATCAGCCGATATTCTTTTTCCCTTAATTTTAAGAAACGTATAACAAAAAAGTTTATCCTTAACATTTGTTATGTTGATATCCCACCAAGATACCATGACATAATGCAGTTTAAAAATAAAGTTTGTTATTGTCAGAAATAGTACTTTGAACAAAAGTACAACAAAATATATTAAAGTTTTGATAAATAAGAGTCAAATGTATAAAACTACAGAAAACATTTTTAAAATATCTGATTTATTATAAATTATAGAGTACTCCTACTAATGAACATTGAATTAAAGAGGTGGTATTGTGCTTTTCGGCTTCCCCCTCCTTTATTGAGTTATATATCTTTGTTGTGCATGTACTAGGTTTGCAAAGTGAAAAAGCTCAAAGTCCAGCCCAAAGCGAGTTCCTATCTGCCACAGAAAGCTCTGCTCTGAACCGTTTGAAAACAGCTCGTTTGCAGTCCAGCCATTTACCTTCCTTCACTGTGAAGTCGCAATGAAAACCGGGCCAGGCCCTTTGATTTTAGTTGAGCCCCTTTTCCACTGCACAATACCAGCTCGACTTGGCTCGACTTGCCTTTGTTTGGTTTTCTATTGTGGAAATGTTGTACCTGTACCTGCTTTCGAATATTGACAGTTTTACGAGAAGTGATGGCGGGACAAAAATGTGCTTGAATATTTTCAGAGTTGAGGAGCTCCGCAAGTGACTGCGGGGGAAGCCTGTACCAACCCGGAGGAGGAGGAGCGTGTGAGGCCGGCCAGCCGCCCACTCACAGAGCCCTCTGCTCCCGCCGTCACACGGACCGCTGCAGCAACAGCGGAAGGCTTTCACACTGCTTATCTGTCTTTACATTCTGAGGAATGAAACGTTTTAACTTAAAAAGAGAAAGCTGTGTGGATCGCTGGTGTGTGTGTCGCATACACGCATACTTAGTCCCATTGGACTAAGAAAGTCTTTTTACTATGTGAGTTTTAGAATATACTATGTCTGGTAGCTATCCATACAACTTACAAGCTCATACTCCTCAGTTTTTTCTACTACTGTTACCTCTGTCCTCTTCCTTTTACAATACTGTAGGATGCTCGTCTCTGTGTGAACGTTTTGACTACTTTCAGATCGTTTATGGACACGTAGCAGAGACACATACACAACACAAGTTTTTAAGGTCAAGAATGGTCTCAGACGGAGGCAAAAAAGTGGCCCAGGAGTTTGTCCCTGGTCAGCCCACTCTTTAGACAAAGCATTTGTCAGGGCCTCTGGGTCTTTAGAGACCTTTATTCCTGCATTCTTGAGAATTTTATGCAAGTAGAGTACATCACTAAATTAACCTTTAAAATATATTTTCAAAACTAGAAACACCTCTTTAACTATCCTAAAGTACAGAAATCAACTCAGCTGAGCCCTACAATACAATAAATAAATAAGGCATATCATCATCAATCTTACCATAAACTGTTGCTTTGGACTGTGCTGGCTTTGACTGTTGCCCTCATCTCTGCTGTCTGTCTCATGTTCACCATGTCAGTGTTAGTACTCGTACCGCTGGCCAGTAGTGGGTAGAGTAGCTACTAAAAACCTTTACTCAAGGAAAAGTACATGAAGTACATTTTGATTTCTCCTAAGTTGTTTAACACAACTAGATATGAATACCAGGAAATGGAAGCTGAAATTCTGAACTCTTGTCTCATCTTTTGATCTTAAACCCAAATGTCTTCAGTGAACAACAAAAACAAAGGAATTTGCCTTACAGTTCCAATACTTTTGGAGGGGACTGTATGTATTTATTCTTAAATTCATTCATTCTTTCTTGAATATATTTCCGCATTTATATTTATTATTTTATTCATTTATTGATTCTTCTGGCACTTACCAGCCCCCGTACACAGGATAAGCTGTTGTCAGTGAATGTAAGGTTTGTTTTGCAGTTGCTGCTGTTTCAGCACTGTGGAAGAAGAAAAATGAAAAGCATTTCTCTTTTGCATTTAAGTTAATTACAATGATCACAGAATATTTATTTTATTCTGTTCTAACTGTTTGGCTCAGGTGGAATTAGGCATTTGCATGTTGCATTTGCACTTATTTACATTTGTGTGTAAAACATGGTGTATCGATAAAAGGAAAATGCTTTTGCTTAGCAAATTAATCATTAGGTGACTTAAACGTCCACTGAAGAAACAAAAAATGGCTTTAGACTAAAACATCAGTTTTGCGTGGATCGATGAGGAGACAGCAACCTTCCTTACATTAGTCCATGAAAGAAACATTAATTAATTAAGTCTATCATGCTCTCTACATTTTCTTTCCATCATTTGAGGTTCGACTGGCACCCTCTGTTTCTGCAATAGTTTCATAGCACCTGACTGAAGAATTAGCACCACCTACTGCTTATGTCAATGAGCAAACTCCCAATAGTCATATAACAGTAGTGGATAGAAACATGCATAAAAATCATATTTTCTGTTGAAGGTTTTCTGAAAATTTGGCTATTGTGGTTATAAGTGGGGAACTCACAACTTGGGCAGTCGTGGCGTAATGGTAAGAGAAGTGAGCTTGTTGTAGGGATTTGGTTCAGTCCCCAGACCGGTAGGATAAGTCTAGGTGGGGATAGTGAAAAGGCAGTGCTTCCATGTGTGAATATGTTTATCTGTGCAAATGTGACCAGCGCGTTTCCGCAAAAGAGAGACTCCTCCTGTCCATTTGGCCATTGTGGTCAGAAGTGTGCTTTATTGAACACGTAATCACCCAGCAGTGATCTCACAGTGTACTGGAGTACACCAGAACATCTCTACAGCAAAAGGGAAAACTTAAACCCCAGGAGGTCAGCAAAAACAGGATTTTTCAGGGAGTGTTACCCTGTATTAACTCACTACCACCTTAAATTATAAAGCTTAGTGTGAAATAGTGTGTCAAAGTTTACCGATTAAAATACTGAATTGAACTGTCATTTCCTTTCATTAAGATTCTGTCACACTTATCTGCTTTCATGTGACTTGTGCTAATGGGAGAATGTGTTTGTACCACAGACTCTTGTACAAGCAAATCAGTTGCTCCATCACACTTAAGCTGATATGTAAGTTAATATGAAGAAGCCGCAAACAGTTGCAAGGAAGTGAAATATGTCCATATTTGGCAGTTGGGGTTGTGGAAATATACTGGGAGATCAAGCAATAGGGGCTTTTCATAGATATGTATTCAGATACCCATATATACAGTGGGTACGGAAAGTATTCAGACCCCTTTAAATTTTTCACTCTTTGTTTCATTGCAGCCATTTTCCAAAAATCAAAAAAGTTCATTTTATTTCTCAGTAATGTACACTCAGCACCCCATCTTGACAGAAAAAAACAGAAATGTAGAAATTTTTGCAAATTTATTAAAAAAGAAAAACTGAAATATCACATGGTCATAAGTATTCAGACCCTTTGCTCAGTATTTAGTAGAAGCACCCTTTTGATCTAATACAGCCATGAGTCGTTTTGGGAAAGATGCAACAAGTTTTTCACATCTGGATTTGGGTATCCTCTGCCATTCCTCCTTGCAGATCCTCTCCAGTTCTGTCAGGTTGGATGGTAAACGTTGGTGGACAGCCATTTTCAGGTCTCTCCAGAGATGCTCAATTGGGTTTAAGTCAGAGCTCTGGCTGGGCCATTCAAGAACAGCCACGGAGTTGTTGTGAAGCCACGCCTTCGTTATTTTAGCGGTGTGCTTAGGGTCATTGTCTTGTTGGAAGGTAAACCTTCGGCCCAGTCTGAGGTCCAGAGCACTCTGGAAAAGGTTTTCGTCCAGGATATCCCTGTACTTGGCCGCATTCATCTTTCCCTCGATTGCAACCAGTCGTCCTGTCCCTGCAGCTGAAAAACACCCCCACAGCATGATGCTGCCACCACCATGCTTCACTGTTGAGACTGTATTGGACAGGTGATGAGCAGTGCCTGGTTTTCTCCACACATACCGCTTAGAATTAAGGCCAAAAAGTTCTATCTTGGTCTCATCAGACCAGAGGATCTTATTTATCACCATCTTGGAGTCCTTCAGGTGTTTTTTAGCAAACTCCATGCGGGCTTTCATGTGTCTTGCACTGAGGAGAGGCTTCCGTCGGGCCACTCTGCCATAAAGCCCCGACTGGTGGATTGCTGCAGTGATGGTTGACTTACTACAACTTTCTCCCATCTCCTGACTGCATCTCTGGAGCTCAGCCACAGTGACCTTTGGGTTCTTCTTTACCTCTCTCACCAAGGCTCTTCTCCCCCGATAGCTCAGTTTGGTTGGACGGCCAGCTCTAGGAAGGGTTCTGGTCGTCCCAAACGTCTTCCATTTGAGGATTATGGAGGCCTCTGTGCTCTTAGGAACCTTAAGTGCAGCAGAACTTTTTTTGTAACCTTGGCCAGATCTGTGCCTTGCCACAATTCTGTCTCTGAGCTCTTCAGGCAGTTCCTTTGACCTCATGATTCTCATTTGCTCTGACATGCACTGTGAGCTGTAAGGTCTTATATAGACAGGTGTGTGGCTTTCCTAATCAAGTCCAATCAGTATAATCAAACACAGCTGGACTCAAATGAAGGTGTAGAACCATCTCAAGGATGATCAGAAGAAATAGACAGCATCTGAGTTAAATATGAGTGTCACGGCAAAGGGTCTGAATACTTATGACCATGTGATTTTTCAGTTTTTCTTTTTTAATAAATTTGCAAAAATTTCTACATTTCTGTTTTTTTCTGTCAAGATGGGGTGCTGAGTGTACATTACTGAGAAATAAAATGAACTTTTTTGATTTTTGGAA